GAAATCAAGGTGCCAGAGTCTGGAGGAAGACTGGAGAGAAGGAAATGCCAAAATGCCAGATATCCAGTGTGAAGCATCCACAGTCAGTGATGGTCTGGGGTGCCATGTCAGCTGCTGGTGTTGGTCCACTGTGTTTTATCAAGGGCAGGGTCAATGCAGCTAGCTATCAGGAGATTTTGGAGCACTTCATGCTTCCATCTGCTGAAAAGCTTTATGGAGATGAAGATTTCATTTTTCAGCACGACCTGGCACCTGCTCACAGTGCCAAAACCACTGGTAAATGGTTTACTGACCATGGTATTACTGTGCTCAATTGGCCTGCCAACTCTCCTGACCTGAACCCCATAGAGAACCTGTGGGATATTGTGAAGAGAAAGTTGAGAGACGCAAGACCCAACACTCTGGATGAGCTTAAGGCCGCTATCGAAGCATCCTGGGCCTCCATAACACCTCAGCAGTGCCACAGGCTGATTGCCTCCATGCCACGCCGCATTGAAGCAATCATTCATGCAAAAGGATTCTCGACCAAGTATTGAGTGCATAACTGAACATGATTATTTGAAGGTTGGCGTTTTTTGTATTAAAAATACTTGTCTTTCATTGGTGGGATGAAATATGCTAATTTTTTGGGACAGGCATTTTGGGTTTTCATGAGCTGTATGCCATAATCAAGAGTATTAAAACAATTAAAGACCTGAAATATTTCAGTTGGTGTGCAATGAATCTGAAATATATGAAAGTTTCATTTTTATCATTACATTATGGAAAATAATGACCTTTATCACAATATGCTAATTTTTGAGAAGGACCTATATTCTCCTCCTTATCATGGTGGAGGAGTTTGTGCGCCTGAATGAACATAGGACAGGGCTATTCAACAAAATACTGCTCAGGGGGCCACAGTTTCTGAAAGCCAGCAGCTCAGGGGCCGGACATCAATTCAATTCAATTCAGATTATTTATATAGCACCAAGTCACAACAGAAATCATCTCAGGGCACTGAACAGAAACATCCATATACCCATCCATCCAGTTGGTTTTCTCTGGGTACTCCAGTTTCCTCCCACAGACCAAAAACATGCATGTTAGGCTGATTGGTAACTCTAAATTGTCCCTAGGTGTGAGTGAGAGAGTGAATGGTTGTTTGTCTCATTTGTCTCTATGTGGCCCTGTGATGGACTTGCGACCTGTCCAGTGTGTACCCCGCCCCTCGCACAGTGATTGCCAGACATGGGCACCGGCGACCCCCGTGACACAAACTGGAAGATGCGGGTAAAGATAATGGGTAGATGGATATTTATCTGCGGAGCAGACTGTTTTGAATGGCACTTCATCGCACAACTCTCCATCTTGAGCAAGCATGAAGGCGACAGTGGAAAGGAAAAACTCCCTCACGAGGAAGAAACCTTTAGCAGAACCAGGATCAGGACAAGCGGTCATCTTTGACTGGCTGGGTTTGAGAGGAACAAATACACAATGGCAGTCGAGAATCACATGTTAAGATAGATATAATATCAAATGAAAACTATTAAATTTTAACAAATCATTTAGGGAAAGTAGGTCAACTTGTCCTCCAGTAATCTAAGCCTATGGCAGCATAACAAGCCGACCCCAACTATAGGATTTATCAAAAAGGAAAGTCTTAAGCCCAGTCTTAAAACTGGATAATGTGTCAGCCTTATGGACAGAAACTGGAAGTTGGTTCCACAAGAGAGGAGTCTGATAACTGAAAGATCTGCCTCCTAGTCTGCTTTTTTAAACTCTAGGGACCACAAGTAAACCTGCAGACTGAGAGAAAAGTGCTCTGTTAGGAAAAAACGGAACAGTAAGATATGTAATATAAGATGGAGCTAGGTTGTTGAGAGCTTTGTAGGTTAGAAGTAAGATT